TTTCTTACAGAGCTTACCACTTGATGTAGCAGTTATGCTACTAAGCATTACTGATTTGAAAGCTTATGTACGGTCTGAATACTTTTATTGCAGCTTTATTCATAACTGCCTTCAGAAGATGAATGAATAAACAGGGTATACCATAGAATGGCATATAATTGAGAAAACAAATCACCTATCAAACCACAAAGAGACAGATGAATCTAAAATGTGTAGTGTTAAGTGAAGGAAGCCATTCTGAAAAGGATCTCTACTATAGGATTCCAGTTATGTGACAATTGGGAAAAGGCAAAACGGCAGAGACAGTGAAAAGATCGGTGGTTTCCAGACATTCAGGAATGAGGAGAATTAAATAACAGAAGCGCAGGGGACATTTTGGGCAATGAAACTCCTCTGTGTGACACTGTAATGATGGTTCCATGACAATATCATTTTTCAAGATCCATAGAGCACTACGACACAAAGCACACATGTGAATGTATGCAAATTAAAACTCACAAGTGTTAAAGAGATCAGAGCATTAAACTAAGTGTGTGGCTGTGTATGCAGGGCCCTATAAGGCTAAGTAAGTCTTCCTTTCCATGAAGCCAGCCTACTTGTCAACATTTCACTTGTCAACGTTTGCCTCTTAACATTTGACCCTGTGCTTTTGCTGAGTGTAACCAGCCTCTCTAGGCAAACCAGGGTCTTTGCGTGTCCTGCGGGGTTGGAGCAGACACTGTGCTGCTGTGACTCCTCCTCCATGGGAATGTTTGAGGCTGAAGTGAAGATTGGCCTTTGCGTCCAGGACAGGGGGTGGCAGGCAGGGATGTTCAGGAATGAGGCACTGATGGCAGCTGACACGAGGTAACCATGGGGCAGTGAGAGCCATCACCATGAATATTGCAGCCTGAAGGCAAGGAAAGCCTCTGAAATTCGGAAAGCGGGTAGGACTGAGTGAATGTGGAAAGTCATGTGAATAAGATGTCCCCACACTCACAGGGAGACACTGCCTCTATCCAACATTTCAGCTGTCATGCTTCAGAGCTTCTGTAATTCTGTTCTGAAGCTTTGATACTATAAGCAGCACTTAACACAGTAAGATTTATGAGAATAGTTTTTTGAGAATTTTTTGTTTTTTCTTGTATTACCAAAGGTGTCTGATGGTGACCTAAAGATTTTCTTGTGACTCTATGTAACAGACAAACACAAATACAGGCCCACACTTTTAGTCATAAGAGGCTGCCAATGGTCCTTACCGGCACAGAGTGTTGCTACCTTCTCTTGACTGAACAGGGGGAGAGGGAATCACCAAGACTAAAGTAGCCTAGATTAATCTGCCATGAAGGAAAGCAATGCTGAGAACTTGCTATCTACCAGAAGTCCCCTCATACCTACTAGGGGAGAACAAACAGTAAAAGAGAATATTTTTAAGGGTAGCTAGACTTTTCTCAACTAAGAGAGTCTTTGAAATGCACAAAATGGAGCTACAGAAATGTTCCATTCAACTGGTCAATTTTTCTGAAATGTTCCTTCAGAGCTCATACATTTTGGTACAATAGTTAATCCTGGGGTCACCAGACTAGTTTCTTCCCTCTCATGGAACTCTCCTGGAAACATAAAACAAGCAAACAAATGTAAGTCAGCGTCTTTTTTTTCCAGTCTGGAGGAACCTCATTGCTATTAGCGCCCCAGCAGGAAAGTCTACCTGCCTTCCCTACATGAAGCTTTTGCCATCAGATCCAGGAAACAAGAGATGGGTGGTGGGTCCTGGTTAGAATGAGTTCAGAAAGTTGCCCAGGATATGAGGTCAGTGCTGAGCTGAAGGCTAAGCTTGCTTGCCTTTGATTATTGTGTCATTTTATCTGTGACAGACAACACAGTCAGTAAAACTAGAAATACAGATGATTTCCGAGTGAAGCCAGTGACTCCCAAATCACAAACCTGCCTGAGATATTGGGAACTTGAACAATGATCCTGGTGGCACGTGGGCCAATAGAAGGTGCATCCTGTCAACAGCTGCAACCTGTGACACAGACAGGGGCGTGCCACAGCAGAAGGACTAATCGAAGTTCAAGGGAAGAGGCCTCAGACATCCTCAAAGCACATGAAAGCAGCAACAGCAGCAAATCTGTGTATTAACATGTGAAGTGCTTTTATTATAATACTCCTGTTCTATAATTTAAAAATGCCCAGGAAACCTGAGGTTGCCGCTGGTCCCGTAGAGAGGGCAGAGAGCACAGAGGGCAGGGACCCAGCTGTGGCAGCTGCAGACACCCAGGCTCTCCGGGCTGCTCATGCTCCTGGGGCTATTTTCAATTCCAACGTGAAGCCAGCCTAGCTTTAAATGTGGGCAAATATGAGCATGAATTAAACATGAAGAGGCAAAGAGATATATTTAAGAAGAAAGAGGAAGACTTTAAATGCATCCAGCTATATTTTTAGGAAATAACAAAATATTAACCCCTTTTCAGGATTGTCAGAAGAAGGTAGTTTGAGGATGGGAATAGCTGCCCTCAAGTGAACTTCCATTATTTTCCTTACAACAGCCTTTCTCCATTTTTCCCTGTATAACCTGTACTCTTATTGGGCTTTAGTCAGAATTTGCTGTACATGAGACTTTGAAACCTTTGCACAGTAGCGATGTGAAAGCATACAGAGCAGCCCCTAGCACCGGGAAAGTCTAAGAAGGGAATGCATGCTGCCTTTTGTGCAGCAGCTCGGCCACTGGCGGCTAGCACAGAATCATTCTGGAAGTTCCAGCTTCTATCCTTTGCTCTCTGCATCCTTCAATTGATTCTTCCACAGGTGCTTCCAAATTAAGGATTGAGAAACAGAGGAATCACAGGGCTCAAAGAAATGTTAATATCCACTTGGTCTGGAGGTTTGGGGAATGGGAGTGGATTTAGGAGGAATGAAGGTAGTGACAGAGCCGCCAAGTTCTAGATCACTCACTGTTGCTTCCATAAAAAGGCTCTTTCTTTGCTCTGTTATCTATTGGAGTCCCCTATGAGATTGTATTTGAACTACATATTTAACAATGAAAAAAGGTCTAGCTATGAGAAATAACTTGAAAACTTTGGGTATATAATGGCATTTATAATGCATTAGAATGGGTTCTTTTTGCTTTGTGGAAAATGTGTTTTGGAAATTACTGAGTTTATGTGAATGGTGAAAATATACTGTTTAATTTAAAGATAATTGTTTAATACTTTTACTCCCCCATTAGTGGGAGTATAAATTAGTTCCAATTCCTCAAGGACCTAGAACCAGAAATGCCATTTGACACAGCAACCCCATTACTAGGTATGTACCCAAAGAATTACAAATCATTCTACTACAAAGACACACGCACATGTGTATCGATTGCAGCACTATTCACAATAGCAAAGACTTGGAACCAAGCCAAATGCCCATCAGTGATAGACTGCATAAAGAAAATGTGGCATATATACACATGGGATACTATGCAGCCATAAAAAATGAGTTCATGTCCTTTTCAGGGATGTGAATGAAGCTGGAAGCTATCATTCTTAGCAAACTAACACAGGAACAGAAAGCCAAACACTACATGTTCTCCCTTGTAAGTGGGAGTTCAACAATGAGAACACATGGACACAGGGAGGGAAACATCACACACCAGGGAATGTTGCAGGGTCAGGGCCAAGGGGAGGGAGAACATTAGGACAAATACCGAAAGCACGCGGGGCTTAAAACCTAGCTGATGGGTTGATAGGTGGAGCAAACCACCATGGCACATATATTCCTATGTAACAAACCTGCACGTTCTGTATTGTATCCCAGAACTTGAAGTGAAATTTTAAAAAGGACATAATTGCTTAAAAGAGCAACATGAATAATTTAAGGATCCGATTTGGTGAGGAAAATCAATCGATTAGCAACCCAACCCCATGTACATTCCCCAAGAAGAAACATAGCATGATGTGCCTTCCATGTCTAACGGAATATTTAGCAAACAGGACAACTTTGAGCCCTAACTGCCTAATCCTCAGTGTCTCTGAACTTGCAATAGTCCTTGAAAACTCAGCCTAGAAATCTCCTTAATAGGCAATCTGCATGGCCACATCTAGTTTCAAAATTTTATGGTTTTTATAACCCACGATAAACTCAGGATTCTTGCCACTTTTATACCACATTTAAGGATAGCTGAGTACATAACTATGCATACAATATACTGTTCAGTACTGGCATTCATTGAAACTTAGCAGATATCAGTGAGTTTGATTATTCTTTCTAAAGCCATACTACAAGTACTTGGACTGCCAGGACATAAGCCCTCAAAAATACCATGACAGCTTACTATAAAAATAGACTTAGTGACTTCAATCCTAACCTTTGCCAGCCAGGTTCAGCTCCTTCTAACAGATAGTGTATAATTCCTTCCTAAAGTAACACTTATCCTGCTGCAAGGTCATTGAACCACCTGTGTCACCCATGCTGACTCACACTCCCTTCCTGAAGGGATTTGACTCATTGTTCTACTTTCACACTCATTCACCCCTTTCTCTGAACAAACAAAAGAGAACCTGGCAGTCCCCAGTCACTCTGCCAAGCACCCCTCCCGCTGTTGAGTGTCTGCCTGTTTTAGGAACTCACAGCTCGCTGAAGTGTGTAACTCCAGTTACCATCTTGATGCAGAGACACTGACTCCTCGCCTAATAAAGAGTGTTTTTGAAAAACTAAGTGATTTTTCTCATTCCTATGAACAGTGCTTATTACAGAAACAATACAAATTCAACATATCTGTTTGAGTAAGTACTATGGAAAGATATATCCTAATGCTGCCTAACTACACCTAAACATTAAGATATGTCCTGAATATTTCTACTCCTTCCATAACAGGAGGTTTTGTTTTTTATGTTATTTTTCCACAACAGAGAAAGAGGCTCCAAAAAGATTAATTTCAAAGAAAACAATCGTTTCTTAGAAGAGTAGACAAATACAGTCAATTTTTTTCACTAATTTACACATGATACATTATTGCAAAGTAATGGTCTTACTTGAATTTAGGTAGAGCAATATTTTTCTTTTGCTGGGGTCACTTCTTGGGCAATCTCAACATTCTGGAGAGCAGTCTAGATGCAGAAATAAAAAAAAATAATGAGTCCTACGAGCATTCAAAATAAGCGATGAAATCTATACACTGAAACGTATCTATGAGGAAGACAAACTTGCTATTTACACTGATATCATACAGAGTTTTCCACACTTTCTTGTCAATTTCTAGGAATAGCTCAAATCCCTGTAAATCATCTAGAGAGGACATTAGGTAGTATTTTCCAAATGACTAATGTCACAAGATTAAATTCTGTAGAACACATGTTGGGGGAATTGACTTTTAAAAAAGTGCAAGAGGATATTTGGTAATCTGCCCAAAATATCATCTGCCAGTAGATAGCACTTGGATCTAAATTTAGAATGAGACTCCAAGTTTAAATTTGTGATAATATGTAAAAGCATTCATAGTGAGGAATAGTCTATTGATTTAATGGCAAGAAGTGATTACTTTTTTGTGAGACTTAGCTATTAACTCAGTTTTATGGTGAGGGGGGCCAGGCTGACCCCTTAAAACATACAGTAATTGAAGATTTGAGCAACTGATTGCTAATTCTGGAAGCTAGAGTGGTGCTTCTGCCTTTGTCATTTAGTTTTTAATGATCCCATTTATGTTACTTGGCCCCTCATGAACTCAGCTATAGTTTTGAAAATACCATACTATTTTAATAAAATGAAAGACAGGTGATATGCCTATATTTATTAGATCAGTGGTTATCAGAAGTCCCAGGGGTGTGAGGCTGGCTGCATAAGAGTAACTTGTATAGCTTACTGAAAATATTAATATATTTCTGACTCAGGAGATGCAATTCAATTCTGAATCTGAATCAGATTTACATAGAGGCCTATTAACGTGCATTTTTAAGATGCTCTCTGAAAATCTGAACTACAACTAAGTTGAGAACCCTTCACTAGAATAAAGTTTGTGAGATGTGCTAGGAATAATTCTTGGATAGTGTGATGGTTAATACTCAGTATCAACTTGATTGGATTGACTGTTGTGATGTGCTAATCCTGGGTGTGTCTGTGAGGGTGCTGCCAAAGGAGATTAACATTTGAGTCAGTGGGTTGGGAAGGGCAGACCTACCCTTAATCTGGGTGGAAACAATCCAATCAGCTGCCAGTGATGCCAGGATATAAATCAGGCAGAAAACAATGAAAAGACTAGACTGGCTTAGCCTCCCAGCCTACATCTTTCTCCTGTGCTGGATGCTTTCTGCCCTTGAACCTCAAACTCCAAGTTCTTCAGCTTTGAGACTC